GGTCTACTACCAGGATCAGAAGCAGTCGTCGCCGGCCGGCGCCTGCCCAATGTCCGGCATGTGCGTACACTGCATGCAGCAATATTGCACCGACCAGCCCCAGCCTCCGCCGCACCTGCCCAAGCAGACCCTGTTGTACGTGCCGAAGAACGCGGCCTACTGGGTGTCGGTCATCTGAGCAACGTTGGTCCGTCGGTTGGTCGGTTAGCTGGTGATTGACCGTATGCGCATGCCAAACTTTGCTCTTGTACTTCTTTTAACACTGTTACTCTTGATGGCTGCATTTTACACTACGGGGAACTAAGTTAAACAAACAAAACCACCAGCGTCGCGTTTTGCTTTTTCGAGTTGGCTAACGATTGGTTTCATGATACAATACGTACAACATGCAAACTACTACTACCACTACTACTGCTCGCTGTACCGACCTCGGTCGGTTCGGTGACCCCCGAGAAGCGGCGAGAATCGTGAGCGAGGAAGGAAAGAAGGAGCAACAAGTAGGAAACAAAAACAGAGCGGAGCGAACAACGAACGAACTGAAGTTGTGGTGTGAAGCGGCAGATTTTACCCACGACGAAGTTCGCAGAGGAGCGAGGGGGTTTGCGCCGTTCAAGACGGCAATCCGCGTCTTGAAAACGCGTTTCATCACGTTTCGCCTGATCATCATCGAATACCGTGCCTCGCCGTGGTCCTTGACTCAAACTGAAAACTTGGCTTCGACCGGGCCATCCACTCTCGTCGTCCTATACGTGATATACCTTCAAATGGTCGTCAACACATTCCAGGGTCAAATGCAGCTGTAAAACTAACGATCAGCACCACACAGAAAGCCTGACAACCGCAGTTGCCGCCGCCTTCAGTCCTGACTGCGAAATCATGTGCCGTTTGTTTTCACAGTACATCGGTTTACTGTACGAAACTTATTTTATGTACAGCCGAAATTTTCTACTGCATTTTCAGGCTACACAAAGTTTGATTCCGTTTCAATTGACGTTTTAATATGAACCGAATTTTAATAAAAAAATGTTTTCACACTGTCGCAACGGACTTAGTTTTTTTGACAACCATTGTGATTTTAATTTTTTTAGCCATTTTTCCTCGTGAGTTATCGTAGCTTTAAATATCATTCCATGTATTCCATCATTTTCTTCACTGCCTCGAAGCAACGATATTTGTCCGGTAGGTAAAACGGTTCGAAAACATGCGGAAACGGTGTGTCCCAGCCACACACTCGCTGAACCGGACATTCAAGGTGCAAGAAACAGCGATCCTAAACATAGCGAGTGCTGAAGCGGCAATGATGCATTTGTTTAACAGCAAAACAATTTATTCAAATACAGTATCGTATTCAAAGTTTGTTATTCATTATCCTAAGCAGAGTTTCTGCTTCAGGAGGTTTCTCTAACGGCCAACGGTTCCTCATCCAACCGGAAAAGACTCAGATATCCTCCAGGTATTTAATCGTCTACCTGACTTTGCTAAGATTCCGCTCTGTCTTTCCTGTACATCCTTACTAAAAATCGAAGCCGATGCATTTGTAATCTCCAGATCTACAAAACGAGCAGTTCAAAACCGAGGGTTTTTAGGATTTACGAGTATTCCGAACCCTATCGAAACAATGCTTCGATTGAAATTGATTCTTGCAGTTTATATCAGTGAATGAGGCGTCGAAACAAGCGCTTAGTGCATCAGATATGCAGGTAGCACTGTCTTTTACTGTACGGCTTTGCTGATGAGATATTTCTAGCATGAATACGAAATGTCATATCGTGGTCTACCAATGCGGGACAAACAATAAATGCTGGAAAGTCGCGAATC